TTTGCCACAAATGATACTTTTGCCACAAATGATACTTTTGCCACAAATGATACTTTTGCCACAAATGATACTTTTGCATAACATACACATGATAACACATGATAACACTGATACAAACAAAATTTAATAAATAATGCCCCTAATAGAACTATTCTATACTATATTAAAACAAATGGATGTTTATATGTCAGAAAGTGGAGACACTCAAAGAAGTAATACTTCAACATCTATTAGTTCAAGCTTCGGCATTAACCCTGGTGTGTAAATAGTATGTAATAAACGTTATGTAAAAAAAAAAAAAAAAACTGACGGTTTTTAATTTTGGAGTTCAAAATTACAGAATATATATATGAATCTACATTCTGGCCTAAAATTTTATGCTTTGTTCGCAGTGCTTTACAAGTCGATCTACAGATTGAAAGACCTTTACATTCATTTTCTCATGAAGAGCTTTATAGGTTTCTTCTTTTACTTTATTGTTATTTTTGTTATTAATCATATATTAATATCAATAATATGTATATACATACATAAATAAAATAGAAGCATATATTGGATGTGTTGGCAAGGTTTTCAAAAACGATTATATTCAGATATTAACTTATTGATTGAAGAGACTCTTAATATACTTGGGAATCAATTAGAAAATAATCAACAGATTGAATCATGGATTGAAAATTTTAGACAAATTTGCGTTAATCATGCGAAAGCTATTGATATCTTGGGAAGCGTATTTGCTTACCTGGTATTTTGTTTATTTTTTTTTTCCATTTTAAAGTGTTTTCGATATTTTTTTTTGGGAAATTACTGTATTAATTACTGTATTAATTATATTATCCTTTATCATATTATCCTTTTTATCCTTTATCATATTATTATATAACTGATGATTATAGGATAAAACATATTTACAGTATACACTTCGTTCGAATCTTAGGAGTTTATTGGTAGATCGTTTTCAACATTTAATTACTGACAAATCAGAAATGCGTATTATATTTTTATTTAGTATGATACTTGATAATCCTGGAATGTTTGATTTAAATATTGTGGTAGAAATTTTGAAAGCATTATATAAAATTAATCCTGGTAAATATCTTATTCTCATTTTATATATATTTTTTATTTTTATTTTTATTTTTATTGTTCTAACAGAATTTTTAATAATTTACTTTATAAATAATTATATTATTATTAGTTAATATCTATCTGAATCCAAGTTTATTTCAAAATTTTATCAAAGATATGAAAATACCCAACAATTTTAATGATTTTCGAGTTCGTCATGTAACTTTAGAAACAAAGTATCAATTAGAAAAATTAAAAAGTGAAGGTTGGCAACCAGGGTTTTCCCGATTAAAAAGGCCTTTGACTATGATTGAATTAAATGAAGATGAAATTCAAGGAATTCAACAAGGTAGTGAATCATCTTCCAAACGACATCAATCTTCTTAATATATTTATATAAAGTTATATATATATAAAGTTTTATGCAAAGTTACATAAAGTCATAATGTATTTTTAGTTAAAAAAAAAAACTCCCCCCCCCCCCCACGATTTAGATGATTTAGATTTATTTTTAATGATATATATTGTGAATATTAATAATAATACATAATACATATTTACATTGTTACACTATTTAATAACAAAGAACTCATTGATTCAATCACATGATTCATCTACTTGGGTCAATTCTTTCTTTTCTATATTGAAATCGATATTAATAGATAGGATGATCATATGTAACGTCACAGCATGTTCTTTTTGATCTCTTTGATAGTCACCAAAATTAACTAAAAGAATTAACTAAAAGATTAACAAAATTAAAGTCACAGTAAGAAATGATTTGTATAAATAATAATAATAATTTTTACTTTCTTAAGGTTGAACTTGATCCATTCAACTCGTAATAATAATAATAATAATAATAACAACAACAGATAATAATAATAATAATAAATAATAATAAATAATAATAGTAGTAATAATAATAATAATAATAAGAGAAAAAAAAATAAATAAAAAACTACGTTTTTCTCGCGGAAACTTTCTTTCTTCGGAATCGAAAAAAAAAAAATCCTCAGAGGACTCTTTTTTTACTCTTGGAACTTCTGTTGATAAGCAACTATCGGACAATATCTTATACGTTCTTCAATCTAGTTAATATCCAAAGTTAAATTACTAAACTTTTTGGTTCTTTTTATTCGACGTTGATTATTTGGGTTTGCTTTTCTGGTTACAATCCAAAAGTGTCCTATAGTGTTGACCGTTTCGCTGAGCCTTCCGTTAATAATAATAATAATAATAATTTACCTTCTCACGACGAAATGTCATCAAAGGTAAAATTTTTATTTTAAATATTAATTTTATTAATTTTATTAATTTTTTAATTTAAAATTTATATAAAAAAGATAAAAAAAATAACTAAAAATTTGTCAAAATCAACTAAAATCTGCTAAAATCTTCTAAAATCTTCTAAAATCTCTAAAATCTTCTAAAATTTACTAGTCGAAAAAACAACCCTCATTATTTAAGGGAGCTTCTGCAGCCGACGGTATCCATTAAATTTTTTAATCAATTTTTACTATTCAGTAATTTATTATTATTATTATTATTATTATTTTACAAATTTACAACACAAAGAACTTTAAATATTTCGGATAGAAATCAAATACAAAAGGAAATATAGAGATCTCAAGAAAAAGATTCGCGATATGGAAGAGGTATTAAATTATTTAACGTTATTAATAAGTTATTTAATGAATCGTTAAAATAATTAAAAATTATTTTTAATTAGGAAAACGAGAAATTGCAGAACAAATTAACCAAAGCAAAAAAAAATATACAACGATTGCGAATAGAACGGAGGTAAAATTTTATTTTTTATATATATATATTTATTTATTTATTATTCTCACTATTTTCATTATTCTCATTGTTTTCATTATTATCGTGTAGTTTTCTATTTGATCGGTTAAAGCAATCACAACCCCCAGTTGAGTCAGAATCAGAACTATCATCATCTCCACAGAGAGCGATAGATTCTGAGGATGAATCATCATCTTCAGTGGGTAGTGATGAAAATGATGAATGTGGTTCGCAGAGGACTTCTTTAATGAAACAATAATAATAATAAATAAATAATAAATAAATAAATAAATAAATAAATAAATAAATAATAATAATAATAATAATAATAATAATAATAATAATAATAATAATAATAATAATTCAAAAAATTTAATCATCATCACGTAAATCTTTTATTAAAAAAAAATGATTAAATTCAGATATACATATTAATATCATACATAACATATAATTATTATATCACACATATAACATATATAATAACATACATAAATAATATATATAACATACAAGTATATACATATTCAAATATACATTCAATATATATATTCAATATATACATTCAATATATATTCAATATACATTCAATATATATTCAATATACATTCAATATATACATTCAATATATATATTCAATATATATTCAACATATATTCAATTTTATAAATCCCGGCATTCATTCCTTTATTTTTCTTGCATTAATAAATAAGGAAATTTTAATGAATGAAATATAATGAATGAAGGAAATAATTAGATTCTAGTAATATTAAAAAATTGTCTTATTCATATATTATGTAAAATAAAAATAAATATAAATATATATATGTACGTGTATTTTATTCTCATCCTAACAATATTTCATAAATTATAACAATAACATTCACCGCAATTAAAGGAACTTTAGAGAAAAAAAAAAAAAAAATAATTTTTAATGAAAAATATTATTGTATGAAACGAAAAAAATGTAAAGAGAACTTACTTCTCATCAACGTTCTCACAGCCGATATAAGATTTATAATATTTGACTTGAATGAAGGACCCTCTGTACCAAATCCTGATTCATTTTGAGTACTCATTCCAACTTTTGTTTTGTGTTAGAAAAAAATATTGATATTTATTACATTTTTATCGCGAATATTATAATTATAATTATAATAATAATAATAATTAAAAAAAAGAACTTACTTCTAGCAAGAAATCTCTCCTCATTTAAAACAGCCATCGCATTTATTATTAGTAATATTACATAAAAGATTTGTCCAATTGAAAGTACCATTTTATCTAAATTATTTTACAAACTTTCTTTTAATTTTATATATTTTATATATTTTATATGCTATTTTTATTGAGACAATTGTTTTTATATGAGAAATTTGAATCAATCTTGGCACGTTTTTATTGGATTATTGGATTATACAACTAAAGATAAATCAAACAGATCAAAAAAAATGGGTAGAAAATAAAATAATAAAAATAAAAATAACAGTTAACAATTAATATAATAAAAATGACATTTACAAACAAAACCTTAAATTATTTTAGATTTTCAATTCTAAATAGAAAATTATTAATTGTTCGTCAAAAGAGTACAGAAACAATTAATAATAATAATAATCATAAATTAGAACCTGCCATAAAGTATTGTAGTGATCTTGTAAGGTAATTTTTTTTGTTAAGAATTTTTATAATTTTATTATAATTTTATAATTAATTATTTATATGATTTTAATATTAGAAAATACGATGCGGAAAATTATCTTTGTTCGTTTTTTTATCCCAAACCACTTCAAAAAGTTCATTTAGGCATGCGTGCATTTAATCTTGAACTTGTAATGATTCGTGAAAATGTTAGTAATCCTCAACTTGGTAAAGTAAGAATCCAATTTTGGAGGGAAACTATTGATAATGTATTTAAGGTAATTATCCCCAATTTTATTAATTATATTAATTATATTAATTTTATTAATTTTACTAATTTTATTAATCATTATGATTATTTTGATTATTAACTATAATTGTCAATTAAAGGGTAAACCACCTCATCAACCAATAGCTCAGGTTTTGGCAAATTCATTGGAAATATGCAAATTATCCCCAATTTTTTTCAAAAGGATTTTAGATGAAAGGGTATTTAACCAATATTTATTTCTCTTATTTTTCTTATTTTTTGATCTTTTTCATATTCTTCATATCTTACATATTCTTTATATAATTTTCTCATCAATTTTTATAAGATTATTATTATTATTAAATTTCTTATTATAAATTAGGATGCTAATTTAAATGATCCAACATATTTCACTACAAAAGATTTAGAAACATATGGAGAAAATACTGCATCATGTTTATTATATTTACATCTTGAATCTTTAAATGTTAAAGATATACAATCAGATCATGCAGCTAGTCATATTGGAAAAGCTATAGGAATTGTTACTATTTTAAGAGCATTTCCTTATCTTGTTAGTAAAAGAAGAATGATGTTACCTGTAAATATACTTGCAAAGGTTTAAACATTATGTATTACTATATTAATATTAAAAAGAAGAAGAAAATAATTATTAATTATTATATTATTTCTTTTTTTAGTATAATATTTCTCAAGAAGAAATATTTCAATCTGGTTCAGTTAAAGGACTTAATGATGTAATATTTGAAATTGCTACATTAGCTAATGATCATTTGTTAACTGCCAGAACATTTTTAAAAGATATTTCAAAACAAGCATTACCTGCTTTATTATCTGCAGTAATTATTATTTATTATTATTGTTATTATTATATTATTATATTGTATTATTATTTATTTTTCTTTTTATTAATATAGGTACCTTGTGATCTATATTTGAAAAAATTAGAAAAATATAATTTTAATATATTTGAACCAAAACTTAATAGAAAAGATTGGAAATTACCAATTAAATTATGGTTCGATTATAATAAAAATAAATTTTAATTATTTAATTCAATATATAAAAAAATATTAAAAAATATATATTTAAGTTTAGTATATTCAAAGTATCATTTTATTTAAAATTTATTAAATATATAAATAAATACTAATTGAATAATTAAAAATTAAATTATAAATCAATTATTTACAAGTTCAAATATTATTTATTTTAATTAAACTGAGTTTTAATTATATAGATTTAACTTGAATTAAGTTTAAGTTTTTTGAATTTGATTTAACTTGAACTTTATAAAACTTGATTAGATTTAATTAATTTATTGAAAAAATTAAAATTGAAAATTCAATAGATTTCCAATTATACATGTTGTTCAAATTTAAATATTAAATTACAAATTTCAAATTTTTATAAATTACTAGTTTCAATTTTCAAATCAATTGGTTTATTATATTTTTTAATAATTTAAACAATATACTAGGAAACGGAAACTGTTATAAGTCTAGAGTAATATTAATTAATTAAAAAAATAAAGCATATGTGTCATCAGATTTTTTTTTATCTTTATTATTTGTTATATGTTCTTTATCTTACAATCATTATCATAAAATCGAATAGACACTTATCTGAAGTTACATTTTTGATATTTTTTATTCATTTTATTGACATATGCATCAAGATCAGAACTTTAAAACATCAAAAACGTAACTTTGATATCACTTTACTTGTCCAATAAGTATTCTACATTACACTGGTCAAAATTTGGCATATCAGATACCTATCAAACACTTATCATGGTACCTGATAAGTATCCGATATATATTTTTTGACATATATCAGGTACCTGATACAAACACTTATCGGAAACTTATCAGTCACATATACTATACATATCAGATACCTATTTTTCAGCTATTTTTTTTATATTAATCAGGTATCCAATTTTTTTATTCAATATCGGGAACCTATTAGTGATATATTCTCCTCTCTGATAGGTGTCTGATATTTTTTTATTACATCTATTGGGTTCTCCGATAATTTTATTTATTACATCTATCAGGTACCTGATAAGTATAATAGTCATATTGTATTTGAATGCTTTTTTCAAATAAATTATACAAATTAATAGCTTTATTTATTACTGCACAAATTTT